GAAAGCCATTTTATGTGTGAAATGTGATTTAACAAATTCTTATGAAAATTTTTATGATCTTTTAAACAATGACAGCAATCTACCACAAAAATTCACTCAAATGAGAAATATGCCAAAGAATAAAATAATACTATACATAATTTTTTAATGTATTGTATCTGTAAATTGTACTTATGTTGAAATTAAAAAATATATATAACAATACTATTTTTGCATTCTGTGAAAATTTTTGTTGCTCCATATAGACCAAATTTTTAATTAAGAACCCCCCCTTTCAACGGTGTCCTGCTTTACCATTGTTAAAATCTGGTCACCTTAATTTTGGCACATTCTTAAATGTTAAGTATCTTAAAACAAAAAGGCACCTTGTGGTAGGCTGAACTGTGTCCTCCTAAAAGACACATTGAAGTTCTAACCCCTGGTACTTATGAATAGAGCCTCATTTGGAAATAAGGTCTTTGCAGATATAATCAGGGTGAAATGAGGTCATGGTAGGTGAAGGTGGGGCCTAATCCAATGGCTGGTGTTCTCGTAAGAAAGGGGAAATTCGGATGCAGACACAGGGAAAATGCCACGTGACAGCAGAGGCAGAGATTGCAGTGTTGTGTCTAGACACCTACGAGCCAAAGAGCATCCAGGATAATGGACAACCACCAGCAGTGAGGCAGAGGCAAGGAAGGAAGTGTTAGCAGCACTGTTAACCTGAATGGCCATCTCACGCAGGGCACTGCTGGTCAGGCCCTAACAGGGCCGGATGAGCCTACCGCCAGCATCTGGAGACTGTTTATTCACTTCCAAGGCCTGCTGTCATAGATAAGTTGGGGAACTGGACTCCATGGTTCCAGTCAAGGACCCAGGGCACTCTATGCACCTAGTGGAGTGTTGATAAACTCTAAATTTAGTCTGGAGTAGAAATAAATTGAAGATACAACCATTTTAAGATAGGAAGATATTATGTAACCTTGTAATGTAATGAGGAGGAATGTGTTTGCTGTGCTGATTAATAACATCGCTGAGGTGTGATTTTGCTATATAAAGGTAACAAAAAGAAACCGAACAGAACCACTCTTTGGGGAGATAACCTCGGTGTTCTCCAGAATTGCTGGCTTTTCCATAAATGAAAGTGGAACTGTTCATTTCTCATCCACTTCTCCATTGATCGGCGTGGGTGACAGGAGGTGGACTGCTTGGTCCAGCTGCAGAGCACAGCCCTGTTGACACCCAGTTTCCCTCACATCCCAAACAGAATTAAAGACTTACCTCTATTTTGCTATGATTGTGTTGAGAAGCATCCCGATGGTCTCCTGAGAAACAAACAGGATGGGACAAATTGAGTCTCTACCTGTGCCCAGAGGCCCCTCCCCACCTGACCTTGCTAATATAGTATTAGTGATCACGGGGACCTCACAGCCTGTTTTTAGACAGTCCTCCAGGTAATAAGAGTTTTTACATTTTTCAAGAGTTCTTAAAGAAAATAAGGGCTCGGCGCCTATAGCTCAACCGGCCAAGGCGCCAGCCGTACACCTAAGGTGGCGGGTTCGAATCCCCAGCCTGGACCCGCCAAACAACAATGATGGCTGCAACCAAAAAATAGCCGGTCGTTGTGGCGGGCGCCT